GGCAGCAGCAGCAGGAGCATCAGGAGCAGCAGCAACAGCAGCAGCAGCAGCAGCAGCAGCGGCAGCATCAAGCGTTCGGCCGTTGGTGAGCGAAGAGATGGCTGCACAGATAGCAGGGCAGATGTTGTGTGCACTGCGTTATTTACACAGCAGAGAGATCGCACACTGCGATATAAAACTCGAAAATATGTTGCTGGCAGCAGAATTAGACGACTCCGAAGCAACGGGAGACGGAGCGAGTAGCGAGGAGGAAGAAGCGGCGCTGATGGAGCAGCAGGAGCTGCAGCTGCAGCAGCAGCAGCTGCTGCAACAGGAACAGGAAAGAATCAACTGCGCAAGCAGCAGATCCCGCCCAGGCCTTCGACGGAACTTTGGTCACAGCAGCAGCAGCAACAGCATCACCAGCAACAGCATCACCAGTAGCAGCAGCAGCAACAGCTTAAATGCTCTTTCGGTGGTGCCGATGGTGATGAGGAAGCGGCGCGGCCTGGGGAACAGAGATAAAGATAGAGATAGAGAAACAGAAAGAAGCAGCAGAAACTTCTCGTTACCTTATGCTAGAGACAGCCCCAGCGACTCCACGCATTCTCTCGTCGGCAAATTCCGAAGAAAAAATTTAATTGTAAAGCTCGCAGATTTTGGACTTGCAAAGAAAATAGTACGGGGGAGACAAAGGCAGAAGGTTAGTCTTCACTCATGTTGACATTCCTTCTGTTGTGTTCGTTTCAGCTTCCTACCTTCGTCTCTGCCTCTGTCTTTCTCTCTCTTTCCCTCGCCAGCTGGCTGTCGCATACAGCCAGGGGCGGAGAGAGATAGTCTTTGGGTGTCTATCTTTCTCCGCCTCCCGTTATCTGTCTGTATCTGTCTCGCTGTATCTGTGCCTGCCTCTCGTTCTCTTTACACCTCTGTGACTATGCGCAGCTCGTGCCTTTGCTGTTCTCTTTCAGTTTTTCTGCTGCATGTTGCACTTCTCCCCTTGCCTGCATTTGGGGTTTCTGCTAATGATATTATGTTTACCACTTATATATACTGTTATCTATATCAAGTCGCTTTCTGTTGCGTTTCTCCCCTCTTTGAAATTTCTCTTCGAGTGACCCGCAAATTCCTCTTTAGTTATGTTCCGTTGTGTTTCGCGTTTGAAATTCCTCTTTGAGTCATTTTCTGTTATTTCTTGTGTTCGGGATTCGTCTTCGTTGTATTTCTCCTTTGGCGTTCTTCTCGCAGGCATGAGCTGTTCCGTTTCTCGTTTGAAAGTCGTGATTCATACATTGTTGTATTTCTTGTTTTAAATCCCTATTTTTTGCGTCGTTTGCTGTTTTGTTTCTCAGGTGTTCGCCAATCTGTCTGTTGAGGGCACCCTGTACTACCGCTCTCCCTGGCAGATTCTGCACGGGGTGGAGGGGGACGAGCGCAGCGATTTATGGGCGTTGGGTGTCGCTCTTTTTATTCTTTTTTCGGGGCATCCGCCTTTCAACGGAGACGATAAAACCTCCATTGATCAGGCTGTGCGTGAGAAAGTTGGGGGCTGTCTAGCAGTAGCAAACGATCCGTCACACTGACACCAAACCCTAGGCTCTAAACCCCAGAAACTAGCAACACACGCACGCGCACGAATGCGAACCGAGACGAATAAGACTCACAGAGAGATGAATGCATACAATACACCCAAGAAACACCGACGGACACACACAGATAAAACTCAATCAGACGAGTAGAGGGGAGGGGGCTTACGCATCAATCAATTTAGCTTGCAGGGTGCAACGAGGGGAGCCGCTTTGTCGTGCATCCATACATATCATACTATCCTAAGGATAACCATACCCTTCAAACACTATATATACATGATAAATCCATAATAATTCTACGAAAAACATTTAATATATATGCAGTAAATATAGAGTAAATAAATATACAATAAACATATAATCTTTACAAAGTTTTC